GCCCTAACTCCTGTGGGTCAGCTTTATGAACTTTGTCCCAAGCCTTGATGAACCTACGACGCAGCTCGTCACTATCCACCTGAAACTCAAAACTGATGTGAGGCACCAACATCTCACGGGGGCCTGCTCTTCTGGCTCTTCCAAACTGACGGAGCGCTAGACATGGATTGTACGAGATTCCTCCTTGGGTACCAGTCAGAATTTCCAGAACCCGATTTGACAGAAAATAAAGAAATAATGAAAAGTAAAGTGCGAAAGATTTAATTTACATGGCTTTGGGAGAGGTACATGAGTAATTAAAAGAAAAAGAAATAAATACGCGAATTAAATTAAAATTAGAAACGAGGGCGTTGAACCCTTTTTAATGAAATTAAATTATTAGCAAATTAATTAAATTAAAAAAAGAAATTATTTTTTTGGTTTTTTGTATTTAGGAGAATTTAATGAGATTAATTGAAATTAAAAAGCTAACCCTAATTCTAATTGTTTTTTTTTGGTTTATTAAGAAAGTATTAAATTTTAACCTAAACTCGATCTAATTATTTACAGGCAATTTAATTACAAAAATAATATTTAATAATTAGTTATTATGAAAGAAAAGAAAAAAGGATGAAAATTATTACAAACCCTAATTCTACAAATTTTAGGTTTTTATTGCAAAAATATTAAGATGAATCCTAGATTAAAAAACTAAAATCATTTAATGAAATTTATTTACAAAAATACTAGTTAAATAATTATTTATTTTTTTTATCTTTTCTGATTTTTTTGTGTTTTTATATATTATGAAAATAATAATTATAAAGAATTACAAGAAATTAATTAAAATAAAGAAAAGAAAAATATAAAAAAAGGGTAAAAGAAACAAACTAGAGGGGGTGTTGTCCCCAAGTGGAGGTAAGTCTTAGCAATTTGAGCCCAATGAGCCTTAGGCCTCGTTGACCTTTTGATTAGCATGCCTGTGCATTGACTGAGGTTCATCACAGTCTCCAGATCTGGTCCCTTGATTGAGTGCAATGGGACGCGTGGACGACTTGATAACGTGGGTGCATGGTGTGCTTTAGTGTTGAAGCTGCATATAAGTATTAATTGAAAAAAATCATGGAAAAGGTGAGGGACCTGGGGCTCGAACCCAGGTCCTGATGATTACCACCACTACGCGCTGCCATCCGTTCCAATTGGTTTCTTTGTCTATCAAATAAACAACAAACATTATAAAATAAAACAAAATCTAATGTTTGTTTCCGCGCAAATTTTTAAATGAACCAATCAGCCTTGGCCACCTAATCATCTTCTCCATTGCTTTGTTTTTTTCCTGAAAATAGAAAAGAGTTAGCGGGGGTTTTGAACCCCCCCAAAACAGGCCATGTCCAATAATAGCGATTACGCCATCTTTGAGTATAAATTAGGCGCGAGGGTTCCATTGTTTTCGTCCAAGCCCGCTAGTTTTAACCATGGCATCGTGATTCTCTAATTTTACAGTATCAAGGAATCCCTAATTTGAACGCTGAAAAACCCTAAGGTCCTTTCATGGTGAATCCTTCAATAACGCATAAAAACTCAATTGAAATATGTGGTTAGCTTCAGAACACATCAATTAGTATGAATTCATCAAAAAAAATGCAATGAAAATGTCTAAATCTTAAAACACGATCATGAAAAAAATATGAAAAAGTGTGAATCCTATTCACCAATTATGGGCGTTAGAGGTCGTGCTTTTGATCCAAATACGTTGCTTGATGTCCCAGGAATGCAATGGACTGATTACTTTGCCTTGAAATGCTTTGGAATCACGATTTCAGTTTTGAATTTTTAAGCAAGAAACTCAAGTTTTGTTCTCTGGATATGGCGCAGCTTGGACCTCTTGGGCATTAGGGTTTCACTATGTATATATGTGTGAAGGTTCTAGGGTTGAGAAACTGATCAAAAATCCATGAATTGATGAAAAAAAATATTTGATTTTCAAGCCATTATTTTCAAATCTTTTTCAAGCATATTTGGTCTCAATCATATCCAATCATCATAATTCCTTCCATATTTGATTGTACACGAAATATTGAGATTATTTTATGCACAAAAAGATTTAGAAAATTAGGTTTAGTATTTTTCATGTATTTTATTTAATTAAATGAATTATTAATAATAAAAAATCCAAATAAATAAATAAAAATGATAAAAAACTTCCCTTTGGGCCAAATGGTCGTGCACATGCCTTGGATAATGAATTGTGGAAGAAAAAGAGGCCCATTAGCAATTTTAGGTCATTTGAAGCAATGTTGACTTTTCAAAATATCCAAAAATTTCCCAACTTCCACAAGGCATAACTTGCTCAATTTTTAAGCTTTGCTCATGTTCATGGACATTTTGGAAAGGTATTTGAGTCCTCTAACCAATGCCTTTTGTCCCATGTCATTTTGATTTACCAATCTCAAGTTATGGCCTTTGACTTAAAGTCCTTTTTTGTTGACTTTTTAAAATGACCTATAATGTTGAAATCGATAACTTTTTGTGAGAGCATTTCTTGGACTTGAAGTGTGAAGAGGAGTTGTAGGAAATGTCTTTATCTTCAAAATGAGCTTTGGATGGAATTTTTCTGATAATCCCTGTGAAAGTTATGCCCTGGTCAATTTACAGTTGACTTTTTCAACTGTCCAAATATGGAAACTTTTGCATCTTGATGATTTTTGAGCCAAGCTTTGAGAATCATGATCAAGCATTGATCAAATGATGTTTGTGGCTTCAAAATGAGATGTTGACCAAAAATTTGAACTTTTGACTGTCAAATGACCATTTTGCCCCTACAGTTGACTGTAGTGCAATTAGGGTTTTTGACTGTGCAATTTTGTGCTGAAAGTCTTGAAACTTGATATGAGGATGCTTGACCATGTTTATAGGCATGTGGGACTTGATTGGACCCTTGGAAACTTCATTTACTTTGTCAGAACCAAAACCCTAATTTTGACTGTTTAGGAGGCCCTTGAACTGTGCAACCCTTGGGGAATTTTGAAGCTTGACTTGGCAATTTCTTGAAGAATATGAGAGGGAAAATTTTGGGGTACAACACCTTGCCCTTGGCAACAACTTCGATAGTTTTTTGGGGGGACTACCCCTCTAGGGAGAGCGCTTCTTCTTCATATTGTCTTTCTGACTCCGCTTGTCATCTCTGGTATATTCAGCGAAATATACTTTCTTAATTATTCCTTCAATGGCTTCCTTCAATTGGATGCAATCATGCATGTTGTGGTTATGACTTGTGTGGAAATGAAAGTACTTTGATTTATCTATCTGGGAAGACTCTCTGACCGAATACAAGTTCTTGATCCCAGTTTCCTTGAACTCAGTGTTTTCATATATTGGTCCAGGAATGTATGCTCCAAATCATAAGGGACTTAAACTAAGCCATTATTGATCCAGCCAAATTTAATGCAAAAAAGCTTGCACTTTACATCCATGTGGGCGTGTCGTACGGTACTATTTTTCGGGTTGACATGTCGTAGGTTTTCTTCAATCCTAAATATTTTCCGCCAAGGCCTAAGAGTTATGTTATTGCACCATGTTGTAAACATTATTCAACAAATCATTGTCCCCCCGCATACAAAGATTATTTTGTAGCAGTTGAAAGTCGGGTAGTATTTCCTATCCAGGCATTGTAGGTAGTAGTGGAGGTCTAAATGAAGGATCCCCCTGGTGAAATCGTGACACGAATATGAAGAACAGAGGAGTCTGGAATGCTTCCTGACTTGGCCTAGATTAGACCAGATCTTGTTGTGAAGGAACAAATGAAGATGTTACTAGGACTTGATCATCTACTATTTTAGGAAAATGTACGTGGTGGATCTTTGGCCGCTTCAGTAGTAGTGGCAACAATTTTCTATTTAACGGCGAAGCGAGTAGCTTTAGAAGCCACCATTATTAATGAATCTGAAGGAGATCTATTTGCGAGAAGGTTGAATTTGGAGAAAGCAATCTGGAATGAGATTTGTACTTTGGATAAAGAGATCTAAACTTCTATCGGAGAAGATCATAATTTCTATCAGAGGAGATCTAATTGTGGAAATTTATAGAAATCAGAAATTGATTTTCATATATGACACCAATGTTCCGCAATGGGACCAAAGTTGATTGGTAAACAAGGAGGCAGAGCTTGTTGCGGTGGTCCTGAACTTTCGATGCAGAGACGGTGACCTACAAGATTAACACTCCAACACTCAAGTCAGCATGAGAGTGAAAAATAATATAAAAATAAGAATAAATTTGAAAACTTGAAAAATGATATGCTTTCATTCTTAAATAAAAAAGTAATTGACAACTGAAAACTTGAAGTGCGATTCACTCTCAATATCAGGACACCCAACTTGATTCTCGCGCACACAATTGCTTGAGAAAGGAAAAACAAATTTATGTGCTATGCACTTTATTCTTTTTTCTTTGCTATTGAACTTTATCCTTGAGTCTCATAGACGGCAATAAATTAAAAAATATATATTAAAACTGAGTAAATAGTCATGTGTCTGAATCTTTTCATCTAATTGAATGCTACCTTCTAAATAGTTAATCATTTATGTTTAGTTTTATTCTTGTTTCGGAGTAGTTTTTGCGTGCAAAATGCAAAAAGCAAGTTGCAAAGTTTCTCTAATAAAATTTAACACCGTACGTAATTAAACTCAAAATTTCTGATTAAATTAAAAGATATTTTTTTAATCTCATTCTAAAAATGAATTGTACATTAATCTAAGAAAAAGTGCAATTGTGATTCCCTGAGTGATGGAAGATTTGACCTTTACAAAAAGAGAATCTTGAGAGAGCATAATCATGTAAAAGTTTACTTCCACCACATTCTAATTCTCATTAAACATTAGATATTAGTTAGTGATTGATGTTGAACTTGTGGACTCTTTCAAGGCCTATATATACCCTTTGCGCACACAACATTTTACAAACACATTTCACATTCAAATCTCAATTTCTTTCTTTCCAACCTCTCACTCTCAAAATTTCTAATGGCCATTTCCAAACTTGTGTTCACAGTGTGTTCTATTCTTTTTTTCAATTTATGTATCTCAACCCTTGGCAGGCCCATAATAAAAACACATAACAAATTGGAGTATACATCAACATACGAAAACATAGTCAATTCGCAACGCAGCATGTTAGAAAATTATGCATCGTCGACACTAGATTCACCGAATCTTCTTGTCGATGTCAAGGGTGAGAAATTTGTCGATGATTTCCGACCAACTGATCCCGGTCATAGTCCCGGAGCCGGCCATTCAACTCCAACAATCCCCACAGACGCCAACGTGCTTCCAAGGCCTTAATTAAACAAGTGTGCATAAATCAATTAATACTCTCTTTCACAACATGGTTATTCATTCATGCATTAGTAGTATTTCATTATTCATTCATAATAACATGCATGCTATTTATTATATAGTCCTTTTGTGCAGTTATTTGTAATTCCAAACTCAGCTTGTGTATCTTTTAAGCCTTTTGTGCATAGTAATTTGTATATTGCTATAGCTGGTAATAGAATATTGAAAAAGCAAAACCATTGCTGCTTAGTGGGTTGATGTAAATTTCTGGTTATGAATAATAGTCAATATTTTTAAGTCATGATGATGTTAATTTGTTAGAATTCAACTTTTAATCATGAAGATGATATTGCACAGCATAAGTTATGGCAAGTGGGATATAGTTATTTCATAAATTAAGGTTGAACACCAACACTTACACAACTTAGTTGATAATTAGACTGAGACATCAATTATAAAAACATAAATTCGAACTCGCGATATTTTACTTATTCACTTTTAAAAAGGTGAATTCTATCCATTAGACTATTTGTAAAAAATAAATAAACAAATATAAAAAAAAAAACTCATCAATATCACGGACATTAAAAAACCCACTAGACAGACTTAAGCCAACATGAACTTAGACTTTTATAGAAAGAGGGGATAAATATATAGTAATTCAGCTCGAATAAAAATTAGGTTTAAATTTTTTTCCGTCTCTTATCATATATTCATATTTATTTTGATCTTTTAACTTAAAAATTTATTTCTATCATTCAATTTTTTAAAACATATTTGTTAGTTATTTCCATTCAAATGTCAATAACGACTTTAATTTTCGTTAATATAAATTAAACTTTAGTGGTCGACTTAGCAACAAAAAATTGTGATAGGTCTCTTCTTTATGAGAAAGAAAAAGAATGAGTAAATACTAAACAAATTGTAAATGAAATTAAAGTATGGGAGAACTTTTCTGACGGAAAGAAAATGAGTAGTCTTTTTCTTATGAAGTTTTTTGTAAAATAGTCTTTTAGATTGACTGTATTTTATAATAGAACAACATAGAAAAGTGTTCAATGGTCTATCTTGTTTAAATTGTATGAAACTGTAGAAAGATCGACAACACCGAGCGCTACGTATCAGATCGACAACACCGACTCGAACTAACGAAGGTAATAACTATCCTTCTTGATTACCTGCACATTACCAACAGAGGGCAATACTCAAATAGAAAGGGTGAGATATCAAACCATATAATTTAGTGTATGATAAACAATTTATTAGATCAGATTATATAAAATCACTACTTCACAACTTTCAACCAACATCAATCATCACAAGTCAACAAAACAACATGTTAAATATGCAACACGGAATGCGACTCGTTACAATGCACATGTGTGTGGTACAAATTGAGCAAAACTCTCTACTTAAAAATCTGTCAATTAATAGAGACATCAACAAGGCATAAGCTTTCAACTTTACTTGCCAATCCAGGCTAACTTACCGAACATCAGCTCCAACTTGATATGCTATGTATGCGGCCCAATATGAAGGTTACGATAGCAACAACAAAATTCCATAACAACGCAACATCAAACCAACATTGGTCATAAACTCACAACTTAATATTTTGCTCATAAATAGAGACAATAACATCACCTGCAAATTCACATTTTTCAACAAAGAACACAATAAAAAATAGTCAACCAAAATTTACTATAAATAAACAGCATAATTATTCAGACTATTACGAATATTTCCGGTTAATTAATTATCGGCAAAAAATTCTATTATTTCTAGTTACAAAACTTCTACAATATTATTATACTAATAATACTAAATTATTATTAATTATTATTATCATTAATTATACAATGAAATATTATATATTATAAACTTGAAAATATATTTTCTTTAGTTTACCACAAACAAACACAGTACGTGTGCCGCTACAATAAATTCAATTGTTACAAATATTTCAACATCATCATCATCATCATCATCATCATCATCATCATCATCATCATCATCATCATCATCATCATCATCATCATCATCATCATCATCATCATCATCATCATCATCATCATTATCATTATTATTATTATTATTATTATTATTATTATTATTATTATTATTATTATTATTATTATTATTATTATTATTATTATTATTATTATTATTATTATTATTATTATTATTATTATTATTATTATTATTATTATTATTATTATTATTATTATTATTATTATTATTATTATTATTATTATTATTATTATTATTATTATTATTATTATTATTATTATTATTATTATTATTATTATTATTATTATTATTATTATTATTATTATTATTATTATTATTATTATTATTATTATTATTATTATTATTATTATTATTATTATTATTATTATTATTATTATTATTATTATTATTATTATTATTATTATTATTATTATTATTATTATTATTATTATTATTATTATTATTATTATTATTATTATTATTATTATTATTATTATTATTATTATTATTATTATTATTATTATTATTATTATTATTATTATTATTATTATTATTATTATTATTATTATTATTATTATTATTATTATTATTATTATTATTATTATTATTATTATTATTATTATTATTATTATTATTATTATTATTATTATTATTATTATTATTATTATTATTATTATTATTATTATTATTATTATTATTATTATTATTATTATTATTATTATTATTATTATTATTATTATTATTATTATTATTATTATTATTATTATTATTATTATTATTATTATTATTATTATTATTATTATTATTATTATTATTATTATTATTATTATTATTATTATTATTATTATTATTATTATTATTATTATTATTATTATTATTATTATTATTATTATTATTATTATTATTATTATTATTATTATTATTATTATTATTATTATTATTATTATTATTATTATTATTATTATTATTATTATTATTATTATTATTATTATTATTATTATTATTATTATTATTATTATTATTATTATTATTATTATTATTATTATTATTATTATTATTATTATTATTATTATTATTATTATTATTATTATTATTATTATTATTATTATTATTATTATTATTATTATTATTATTATTATTATTATTATTATTATTATTATTATTATTATTATTATTATTATTATTATTATAATAATAATAATAATAATAATAATAATAATGAAATATTTTATATTTGTAAACTGAAACGTGACATCTAATTTTAAACATGAGTGCAACTACAGTCGATTTGCAGTACCAACTTGTTATATCTATTATTTGTTCTATACCAATTTATTATTGTATCATAACATAGTGGCTACACTATTATGCTAACTTGGATTCCAATTGTTAACATATGGCCGCTAGAGTACTAATCAATATGCTACACCTTTTAACTTGTTTACCAAAGTGTTAAATGTCCACTACAGTAACGTAAATTCTATATCAAATTGGTAAATAGCAGGCACTTGTATTTAAATATGAAATACTATATGTATTGCTAAATTGAAACATGATGCCGCTACAGGACAACTGGTTGTCATTCTCAATTTTAATATATATATATATATATATATATATATATATATATATATATATATATATATATATATATATATATATATATATATATATATATATATATATTAGATTATCAAATATCTCACAATTTTATCAATATATCAATTCTAAACACAAACAGAAATAATTTTACAATGCAATTCCACATATCATTCGTCATATCCCCTATTATAGAGTCAGAATCTCACCCTTACCTTGAATTGAAAGTTGCTATAACTCACCGATTATATCTAACTTTGCCTCCTTTTTTAACTTTTACGTATATCTTTCAAAACCCTTATTTCCTCTTTATGCTAAAAACCTATCTTTCTCCTCTTACTATACTTTTATTTCTTATTATTTCTAAAATAACTAATATAATAATATTATCATTATATTATTTTTATTTTGTCTTATTGAGCTTAAATTCCTACACCTCCATTTCTACTATTTCTAACATTAAAATAGACCTACATAAATAATAATAGTAGTATTCAATATTAATTCTAAAACTTAGTCAACTAATTAATTCAATTAAGAATGACACAATTTAAATCAATATTTCACAACTTCAAAAATTTAATCGTAAAAATATTTAATTAAGTAATTTATTTATAAATAATATACATGAATAATATGAAATAATATGATGCTATTTTTAAATGACAATGATAGATGACGAGAATTACATATTTTATTCATATCATAGGAATAGTATAATAATTATGAAAATGTTTAAAAGGAGGACTTCATTGATAATTAATTTGAAAATTGAGTCTATTTCATCGGAATAATAATAATAAAAGTACATTACTTAAATAATAAAAATAATTTAGAGGGCCAGAATAAATAAAAACAATACTGCACAAGAATACGAAATCTCACGATAATACTATTTCTATAATATTATATAATAAAATTAATTAAATATTGAGTATTACATACTAAGCTACTAAAGTGAATTTCCTTTCTAGGGTTGGAAGTCAACTCTTCAGACGTAGGTGCAAGTCTTATCGAACTGGATTACCAATTGCTTTTGTTATTTACTACTTTTCATCTCTAACATATTGTACAAGTGTTGTTGTCATACCAGTGTAATTTATTGGATCAGTTGTTCCAACATCGTATTTGACATATGTCCCTTGAGAAACATAATTTCAGTTGGCATCAGAGCAAACACCCTAGCTTGTTAAGTGAGCTACGGGGAAGATAAATTCTTCTCAAATAAAGACAATGAAAGATGGAGGTTAGTCAACAAACCACATGTTCTGGATGACAACAACTATGATTATTCGAAGTAAATGATGGTTGTATTTCTCAAACCCTTGGGCAATAAAGTATGAAAAGTTATGATAAAAGGATGAAAACATCGAGTGGTTACTTTTGAAGATGGCACA